TATCAACCATACTCTCGCCACACCCAGCCAGGGTCCCACGCAGCCAAGCTGAGCTATGTGCCTACATGTGCAGCCCCCAATTCGCAAGAATTTGTTTGTGGCTCTGAAAAAACATTTGAGCAGCCATCCTTCCCAGTTCAGACATGAAATGGCTTATTATTTTAAGGCCTAGGTTTGAATATAGTTTTATAAGTATTCTAAATTCACAGAAACCATTGCATGTTTGTACATAGATATGCAAATTCCTCTCCCGCCCAGTGTGTCTCCTTACAATTTTTAAGACACTTCTCACGAAGAAATAATTTCTGGACAGTCCGCTTAATTTGTTGTTTTTGGCATTTACTTAATCATTTGAATTTACCCTTAATAAGACTGACATAGTTTTGTGCAGTGTTGATGGGAAGTAATCTGATACAACCACATATCCAGCCATCCCACTTCTCGATATTCTTCTGAAGGAAATGAAATCAGACCTCCAAGATACCTGCATCACTGAGATACCTGCACCCGACGCTCACTGCAGATTTATTCAGAGTAGCCAACTATGGAAGCAACCTAAATGTCATTCAATGGGTGAGTGGATAAAAATGTGGTCCCTCCATACAATGAAATGTCAGTCTTAAAAGAGGAAACGCGGCCATCTGTGACCGCCTGGATGGCCTGGAGGACATTAGCCAGACAGCGGACACATGCGGGGCTCACTCGCAGCAGGAGTGGATGCCGAGGGGTGTGCTCAGCCCCAGCCCGGCTGCGAGTCCTTCCCGGAGGCCTGCAGCGCTTTCCAACACTGTCATGTACTTACAGCTCGCTAAGAGGGCAGAACTTAGGTCAAGTGTTTTTATCACAAATAAGAGGGTGGGAGGAAACTTCTGGAGGTGGTGGACACGATTGGTTTCCAGGTGTGTACTTATCTCCAAACGCAAGTTGTATACAACAATTATGTACAGCTTTTCGCCCTAACCGGTTTGGCTCAGCGGATAGAGCGTCGGCCTGCAGACTCAAGGGTCCCGGGTTCTATTCCGGTCAAGGGCATGTACCTTGGTTGCGGGCACATCCCCAGTAGGGGGTGTGCAAGAGGCAGCTGATCGATGTTTCTAACTCTCTATCCCTCTCCCCTCTGTAAAAAGTCAATAAAATATATATTTAAAAAAAACAATTATGTACAGCTTTTCATATGTCTAAAAAAAGGCTGATGGAATTCTAACTTGTACTACTTGTACTTGAGGTGTCAGCAAAGAAGCAGACCTGGTTCAAGGGGCATGTCAACCACCTAAACGGAGTACAAGTTAACCGAGTGCCGGCAGGTCATTACCGGAGTGGGCGCCGGGGACTCGGCTCCCCCCGGCCGCACAGGCAGGGTTCCCGGGAGGACGTGGGGATTCGGCTCCCCCCGGCCCGCATGGAGACACGGTTCCTACCGAGGAGGACGCATCTGCCACCGGGGGGCCCGCGTGGATACGGCTCCCACCCGGGGGAAGGGGCCCGGGA